TAAGCCCTAAACCCTAACCCTAAACCCTAAACCCTTGTATAAAGGGGCCCGGGGTCCCTCAACAGGCCAATGATGAAGCCAGAAACTTATGTTGAACGCACTAAGCTCTAAGCCCCTAAACCCGGAGGGGCCCCAACTAAAACCCTACAGTAGAAGCCAGAAAGTTGGAACATGGATTTAGGAGGATTTGTGCTAGGATCCCGTATACTTTACTTTAGGGGCATGAGGATACTAATGTTCCAACTTTCTGGCTTCTACCATAGGCTTCCAGGGACCTTATTATTGGGTCCTTAGGGGTCCAGGGCCCTAACTATAAGGTCCTTGGAAGCATAGGAAACTGAAACCTCTAAAACACGAATGCCCATTCAAAACAAATGACACCAAACACAATGCGAAAACAAAACACCACAAGTTTCAGGAAATACTCCAGAGGCCACGGCCTGTGCGATGAAACGAAACCACTTGAAGATCATGGAGCTTAGGGCTTTTAGGGTCGAGGGTTTAGTGTTTAAGGTGGTCGCAAGTCATAAAGTCATCAGGCTTTACAAGGCTTATGAAGGGTTCTCTAAGGATCTATGATAGTTCTATACAGTTCCAGTTGACTTCGTAACTAAGGTTCTGGGAACCTTCTCATATTAACTGGAGTTCAAACTACTCACAATCACAAGCGGAACCTAAACCCTAAACCCTAAAGCACACCCTGTACCACATAGTGATGAAGGCCCTTGATCTTTTCGTACTTCAGTTCAAGACCGAACGACACTTGTGCGCGTCGTCCCTTGGGGTTGTATCATAACCAACATAAATAATAGATATAGTTACTTCCTAAGAACACTAACATAGCCAACATAAACAATAAACAGAGCCAATTCCTAAGAGCAGTATCACAACCAACATAAACAACAAAATGGAGCACTGTGGTTTAAAGACCATACCATCCGCTTTTGCGGACCTCTCCAGATCGACTTTCTCTTTCTTGGACACTTGCGCCAGCATTTCCCTCCTGGTGGCATTGTGGTTTAGGGCTTGGGGTTGTTTGGAATACCCTAAACCCTAAACCCTAAACCCTAAACCCTAAACCTTGGGGTCCTTGGCTCGGGGTTTTGGGCTTCCGAGGTCTAAGTTCAGCGATGCTCAGGGCTTTCCTCCGTCTTGGTGCTGTCGACAAGGTTCAGATCAGCAGTGCAGAGCCTAAGTTTTGAGTCCGGAACCCTAAACCCCAAACCCCAAAACCTAAACCTTAAGACCGAAACCCTAAAACCTAAACCCTACAACCTGAACCCTATAAGCCCTAATGAAAAAAAGAGGCTTTGGCTGTGAAGTGTGGGCTGGGCTTGGGGACGGAGGGCTGCTAGCTTGACTAGGATACCCAGTAACCTAAGAATAAAAATGCCTCTCTTTTTGGTATTGGGTAACTTTATAAGGAACCTAGGACAACAAAAAGGGAATAAGGGTACTACTGGGCATCCTAGTTGAACTGAGGAGGCCTCCAGCCCCAATCAGATGCCAAGCATCCCTTGAAATGGGTACTATTAGGGCTAAGAGTAACCTAGGAATAACAAGGGTGCCCTTTTTGGTTTAAAGGGGCTTAGAAGAGAAACTGAACCCTAAAAAAGGGAACAAGGGCCTACTCTAGGTCCTAGGTACTATTGGGGCTGCTTTAGGGATCTATAGACGGCCCTCAAGAATTAGAATAGGGTTTTGGGGGTAGATTATACTGATTCCGAACCACCTTTGGACAAAGAGGTGTTATCCGGATGAAAATGAACCTTATAGGAAGACTCGACAGACCCTTCTGCAGAGGACCCAAGAAACCCTGAACCCCAAAGCCCCGATCCCAACTCCCAAACCGCAAGCCCTGAACTCCCAAATCCATGAGCCGCTAAATCCACAACTCCTAGGATACCCAGTAACCTAAGAATAAAAAGGCCTCTCTTTTTGGTATTGGGTAACTTTAAGAGGAACCTAGGACTACAAAAAGGGAATAAGGGTACTACTGGGCATCCTAGACAACTCCTGAAGCTGTTTTTCAGCAGCCCCTAAGCCCTTAACCTCCGAACATCAAACCCCGAAATCCCGAAGATTAGAGTTTAGAGTCGAGGAGTTAGGGGTTAAGGGTTCAGGGTTTAGGGTCAAATAACCACCCAAACCCTAGAGGGTTTGGAGTCTCTGATTCCCCCCCCCCCCCGGCGACCCCCCACAGCAAAGCAGTCCTGGCGAGCACCTGGGCCTTCCGAAAGCAGCGGAGCTTGGTTTAAAATGGGCTTCGTTTCAACATTAAGCATCCGTTGAAGGGTTCCTGTATCTGGCTCACTTGGAGGATCATGGGACTTAGTAAATGAGGTCCTGGGTACCTTACTTGAATCTGAACAAGTACAGCTGCCCTACTAAGCCCAGTTACACCACCGCGCATGAATTGCGCTGTAGCTGTACTTCTTAGCCCAAGCTGGCAGAGTCTTCAGCCTAAAAGCTCATCTGGGGCCCTCATGCAGACGATCTGCACGACTAGGGCCACGAAGAGGTATCGTAGCATACATATGGACTAAGAGCTGAAAGCTCCTTCACAACTAAACTCCAGCCTGCAGCCCCAAAAACTTCCAACCCTGAACCCTAAAGTAGAAGACCAAAAGTTGGGAACCCCATTGCCTCGATCATTAAGAGTAATGTATAGGGAATCCCAGCACTATTTGGCCTTCATCCGGTTTCCAACTTTATGGGGTTTACTGTAGACCCAAAACCCAAAGCCTTCAGCCCGCGATCCTTTGTAGGATTTGGGCAATTCCGTTGGTGTGGCTCGCGACCTTGGGGTTCCCTTCTTTGGTGTCCCTCGGAGGCTCTGGGCATAGGGGTTGGTGCTGAAGGGTTTGAGGTTTAGGGTCTTGTGCTCGGGGTTTAGGGTAGGCTTTGAAGCTGCAGGGTTCAGAAGGGTCTGGGGGTAGGGTTTAGTAACAGTCATGTCTCATAGGTGCTGCAGTCTTACATACTGATACCGTGGTATGCCGCTCAAAGATTAGCCGAATTATTAAGACTCGTATACTAAAGCCACAATACCATCAAATGATTAATTTAAAGGGAACCCGAATTGCTCCACATATTAGGGCATATATATATATATATGCAAGGCCCTAAACCCTAAACCGAGGGGTTTAGGTTTTTGGGTTCTGCGCCTGTAGCCGGGGCATAGTCGGATAGTCGGCAAAGCGAGAGTTCTGCCAGAACACCTCGGGCTTTGTGTTCTGCTGAGCTTTAGGTTTAGGGTTTAGGGTGCAGGGTTTTGGGGAGTAGCGTTCGGGGTTGAATGTTTGGGGGGGGGTTCAGGCTTAGGGGTGAAGGGTTTCGGATTGTAGAGCTAAGCGGTCTTAGGCACGACTATTGGAGACTTGCGCATGTGAGGGCCTCACAAGCAAAGCAGCGTATGTAAGTATAAATACAGCTAGAGTAGTAGTGCGCTTCTAGGATAACTACCGCTGAAAAAGGAATATGATTACGAGTACGGATATTGGTGTATATATATATATATATATATATGTAAATATATATATATATATATATGTATATATGTATAGATGTATATGTATATGTATATATATATATATATATATATATACACCTATAGGTGCATATATCTATGTATGTATGTATATAGTTAGGTATTTCTGCATATACACGTATATACAAATGTATACATCCTCCGAAGCTACAGTTTTCATCTATAACCAAGGAGGGACTTGGAATCGTTTTCGAAAAGCCAACTAAATGACTACTTTGGGGCTGTTAGTCTCCGAAGCCTTTCTTTGGTTAACCGGAGGGGTGCCGTCCTTCAGCCAAGCCTGAGGTTTATGCTGGTGTCCCTGTGTTTTCTGGTAAGTGCAGACAGACAGAGACTACTGAGACCGATTAATTACATCAGTTAGACTTCTTCCAAGGCTATGGAACCGGTGGGATCATGCTCCTGCTCTCTTTCTTCTCTCTGGGTGCCTCGCCGCAAAGTCCCTGTGCTACAAAAGGGAGGCACATCTGTCCACGAATATAAGTGTGAAAGGCAGCACAGGAGGTTTTAGACACCTTGAAAAATATTGGGAGACACAACTATGCACTTCACGCATTTTTAGCCCCGAACCAATCCAAATATAGGCGACGTAACTCATTCGAGTAGGCTTTTGCGGCAAATTATATTTAATCGTATGGATCCGCAAATGGCTGGATTTACAAGGGACTGCTATACTGGTAGTTGTTCCAACCCCCTAAACCCTATGTACACCCCAAAATCCTTTGTGCTCAACAATCCGAGGTCCCCGCCGGCATCACTTCCCGAAGGAAGTCTTCTGAGGGCCACGTCGACCGATACGCCTGACTTGTGTTTGGGGTCTGTGGGTTCATATAGGGTTTATAGGGCTTGCGGAAATGGGTTTCGTGTTGAGGCCAATAAGCACAAAACAAGCAGTTCTTAAGGTCACATCTCTACAAGGCGTTGTGCCAGTTTTCACTATATGCTATTGTTTTAGTCCCAAATGCAAACAATTCAGATGACAAGGACAAGAGGAACTGTTAGATGCATTGGGTCTGTACTCAAGACCCTAGACCCTCGTAACATCGTTTGACCTTCACAGGAACCCTCAACCCCAAAACCCTTCTCAAGAACTGCTAGGACCATTCTCCAAACTCAACCCACCCGCCAGCTGCGGAGCTTACGGGATCCGAGCGAGCCTGCCATTGACTTGCTTCGGCAACCTGACTTAGGGCTTCAAGTTTTGGGTTTGGGTTTGGTTTGGGTTTTCTGTTCTGAATCGTAAAAGTATATTGGGTTTAATGTTTTGTATTCTGTCGAGGAATACCCCTCACACTGTATGCAAAAGATCTGTTGGCTAAACATTATGGATATTGAAGTTGGTTCGATTGCTTTAACCACAACAGTTAACCAGTTAACCGTTTAGGCTCTATGTCGTGTTGGTAGGTTGGACAGGGTTCTCGACCGGCTCTCAAGGTGCTGCTGGTCTCTGTAGGGTGTGCGGGGTCGGCGCCCCAAGCGAAAACGGAAGACGAGTGCGTGCCTAAGCCATCTATCATGAACATACGGCTGGATTGGACCCCGCACCATGTCATCTTTGTGAAATTCGCACAAAGTCTCATCGCTTGCATGTAAAAAGCAGCAGGCAAACATATGGGTGATAGATGCATACTACTCCGACGTCATCTTGGATGAAGCACATGGTGTACTGGTGTTGTTTAGGGCGGCAGGCTTCCGGCTTTTGAGTATGCATGCGAATGTTGATCGGGCCGTGTGTTGCGCACAGTATAGGGCCGAAAGACACAATAAAACGGACGGTGTACCACGGCACTGCGGTCTGCGAACAGATGCACACATGTTCCGGGATGCAGGCTTGCGATTGATTGCTCCGGTCATCTTACGGCGACTGAAATAGATGCGGCTGTGGCGCAGCATTCGTGCAAAGCGGCCAGGTCACGGAGTATGTCGTGAGTTAACGAATGCTGTCGTCCAGCGTCTTGGCCCCTCCTGCAAATACTGGGATTACGGTCTGATCTTTTGCCTGCAACTTTCATCGGGATACCTCTCGCAACAAGAACCACATCAAAGCCCAACATCCAGACGCAAGAAAACGAGTGTCGCACCATCCTAAACCCTCCATCCAAATACAAGCACTAACGAGCAGGAAGTTCTCTGCAGGCATCGAACAACCACCCCGAAACCCCAAGGCGAACGCCACAAACCCTCAACTTCAAGCCCGACGGTTTAGGGTTTAGGGTTTAGGGGTTTAGGGTTTTTTTTTTTTTTGAGCTCCTTTTCTCCAGTGCCCCGAAAGGTCTGAGAGGCCAGGTCGGCCAGGACAGCTAGGCCCTTATCGCCCTGCTGCAAAAAACACACACGCACTTCCCTCGTTAGCCACCGAACAAGAGCTGAGTCTCGCATCCACATTCGAAAGAGCTGAGTCTCGCATCCCATGTGACCGCACCCAAAACAAGCTACCCTTCGAACTGGTCCGCCGCGTCTTGAGGTAATGGAGATAAAGCACGAAAGGGGGCAGTCTCCGGCTCGCTTGTATCGGAAGGCGGTACCGTTGCTGCCGGTCCGTGTCCTGTGGCGAGGAGGTCGTCGACGGCCATCTGCACCTGTGCATCGCTGAGGTCACCGTGGCTATCCCCTCCTGGCTGGGTCCATGTGCCTTGCTCATGGAGTGCTCGTCGGGCTTGGAAAAGTTCAAGAGCTTCCGGACCTAGCCGATCCGCGACCTCCGCATCCGTCACTAACCCTTGCACCCACTGAGTGTGCACCGCATCATAGGCACTCCATGGTAGCCCTGTGGCCGGTCCAGAAGGTGCACTGTCCTGAGCCTCGTCTTGCATGGTTGCATCCTTCATGGCCCACTGTAGTTGCACCATGTCGAGAGCATCTGGCCCATACCGTTTGAGCACTCCAGCCATTGTAAGGGTGCCCCTTTGGAGCTGGAGCATGACCTCGTCCAGGTCCTCCGGCTTGAGGGCAAGAGAACCAGATTCATCGTCCACTGGCTCGATCATGGCTGGGCCAGTTGAGTCCGGCTGTCCCGGTGGAAACTCAGGTTCGTCTTGTGTCAGAGCCGGCAGGTCCATGGTCCACTGCAGTGTTACCTGTGGCGAGTCCCCCGAAAACGGTATGAAGACACTTGTAGAGGATGTAGCCGGGGTTGCCGTAGATAGAGTGACTTGCAGTCCCTTTCTCTTCCGCGGGTTTGGGCCCTGAGTCATCGCTGTATTCATAACCCAGTCCTCCCATTGCTGATAGCGAGCGCCCTCGCGACGCTGTACGTCCAGCATATGTTCCCGGATTGCCTGTTCCTGCGCTTGCTCCTCTGCTTCATGCATGAGTTGCGAGTGAGGCGGCTGCGCAAGGTCCTCGAGCTCATCCTGCCTTTCTTGCTCCACCAAGCCATCAATGACATGCGCTGGAAGGTCCCCATGCACCACCTGGTCAGGGGCAGGTAGATGATTCCCTGCTTCTGGGTGCTCGGAAACCGGAGAGGTTGGAGGAGTGTCTTCCGGCAACGTAGCATAAGCCACCCAAGGAGGGCGGTGCGGTGCCAGGCCCCGGCCAGAAGCGCATCGAGAGCCCTGAGCAACTGGAAGAAACGGGGACACCTGATTCCATAACTGTAAGGCTATGTCCTGGTTGGGCATACAAGTGGTGACCCTGCCCTTGACATCGTCGTGTACAACTGTAAGGAGTGCCAAGAGGTCGGAGGCTCTGCCGGTAGCGTGGCCGAGGACGTAGCCAGCCTGGTCGTTGGTGGTACGCCAATCCAACAACTTAAGCAGGAGGTGAGCCATGGAGACCCGACTATCCTGGTCCATAGCCTCAAGTGAGAGCCTGAGCTGCTGCAAGCCATATAGCCACTCTTGCTCCGTGCCTGCAGACGAAGGGGGTGTCCGGAAAGGTCCCAGCTGCATGAGATTAGTGTCATCAGCTTCCACCTCGATGTCCACAAGGTCTTGGGATCCTTCATTGTCCATTGCCAGCTGCACCAGATTGGAGACCACCTCAAGGATTCTTTGTGTGACCCTCGTCAGACTCGTGAGTAATACAACTCGATCGTGCCAATTCTGGTCAAGGAATGTTTCCGAGATGACGTTGCACTGGTAGGTTGTAGGAAAGGCCCCCGTAGGAGCATTTTCGTCCTGCATACCCAGTAGCACCAGCCACAAATCCACGGCCTCGGCGATCGTAAGGGGCCTCTGCACTTCCGTAGGCGGCGGCCGTGCCGGCTCTGAGGGTGCCGGTCGCGCAGGTCGTGCAAGTGCTGGCCTGGCCTTTGGTTTGGGAGGCACTCGGGTGTGGGGATCCAGACGACCTCGTCCACTCCCAACACTTGAGGAAGGAGCCGCTCCGGAGGACGTAGCGGAGTCACAGGCGGAGGTCAGTCGCCTAACTTCCGTTGTGACGGTGGTGCGCGGCCCAGTGTGGCGAGGGTTGCTTCGTCTGCGCCGGGTCGTCCTTCTCCTTTGCGGCGTGCGTCCCTTGAGCCACTTCTTGTTGATGGGAGCACCTGCCATAAGTGAGCATATCTCGTCATCCTCCCCCTGGGTGTCATCATGAAGCGAGATCACCTCAATGACATCCGAGTCCGTGCCCTCTGAGTTGCTGGAAGAGACCTCCATGACCTGCGAGATCCCCTGGGTGCTCGTTGCACATAAAGTCGGAAAGGTAGCTGTTCCAGGCGGGGTCGAGGCGTGAGTCACACCAGCATGTTGCCAGCTAGATGTCGCCTCAGTCTCCCCAAGATGGTTGTGACATGGCTCCATGATCGACAAGATCCGGTAGAGAGATGCTTCCACCTGGATGGCCCAGTCCTGCACGTAGTCCGGAGGTTCCGTGCCGAAAGTGTCGGCAAGAATGATCACCGACCCAATGGAGTCCAGATAGGCCATCGCCCGATTCCTGTATTGTGCTTCTGCCCTTCCGAGGATGCGTCTCCGGAGCATCTCGTAAGACCACCCGTCGTGGCCCTCATAGTGAACTTCCCGTAGGTGGTCCATGACCTGTTGCATCCATCGCACCTTGATTTGATGCAAAGTTCTCATCGGAGCTCTCGCGGGTGCCGTTCGTTGCGATCGCTGAGCTTCAAGTAGCGGGTGTGCCTGGCACCACATTGAGGTTTCCTCCCCTGAGGAGGCCGAGCTGTCTCCCGGGCACGGCAACTGTAGAACCACCCTCATGAGGCGGGAGTACCGTCGTTTGTCATTGAACTCCACCCTGCGTACAGCCTCAGGTTCCGTTTCCCCTTCTGGTGGTGGTTGGAGATTGAAGAACTCGTGCGGCAGGGTGCCCGCTTGGTTCTCAAGGGCCACTTGCTGGTGGGGGTAGTACGCTTCGAGGTATTCCAAGTGGAAGTGTTCCTCGATATATCTGCACCACCTCATCTCTTCAGGGCTTAGCTGGCAGACTTCATTGGCTGGAACCAGATTTCCACCGATCCACTGCTCCACGTCTGCCGTGAGGTCATAGACAAAGCCGGAGTAGTGGTCATCTTCCCTCGACTGAATCAAGGCATAAAGGAAACCCATCAAGTCGTTGGGGTCCGAGCCACTTTCGAGGAGTGGTGCAGCCATGGCTTGGCCCTGAATGTACCAGTTTGGCGGCCAGTTGCCAAGGACCTCCGGCGGCTGCCCGAAAGTCTGGCGTCCTTGGAGGAGGGTCACCGCCGTAGTCCACTGCACAGCCCCAGGTGTGCAACGAGCGGGCTCCGGCCCCAGGAGGCATGCGATGTGGTAGCTCCAGAGGCTAGCGAGTGCGCCGAGGGCGCCCATGTTGATATGAAGCGAGAAGGAAGTCAATCGTTATCTGTAACAGGTCCCTTGACCCAGAACTGCAACGGCAGTTCAACTCTCCGCGTGCTCAAAGCTGTGGAGAGAGTGAGAATAAAACCCTTGTCCAAACCCTTTGTCAACCCTCCTTGGGCTCGAAGCAGTGAGGAGAGCGAAAAGAGAAACCCTTGTCAGAACCCTTTGTAAGAAACGTCCGTGTAGAAAAACCCTTGGTAGCACAGAGTGACATCGTTCCATGGAAAGACCCTTTGCTCCACGAAATCTGCATTCCCCTGTTATGGAACCCTTGGCAATCCGAGGTAACCTTCCGAAAGAGAGCATGTAGAGAGCAATCAGCATCAGGTTCAACTGTTGTCCATCCCTCATTTGCAATCCCTCTACTCGCCATCTTCCAGACTGAGCTGTCTCCCAGACGACCATGGTAAATCCTGCTCTGTGATCCATCGCAACCCTGCAACTGCCCACTTGCTGCGATCCCTTGCACACTCCCTCCAGGGCTCCTGGCAGGCTTGGTCCATTGCCATTTCCAGGCCGGTGAGGCGGGCGTAAAATTTGCCCCGATGCCGAATGCCAACGCCTAGCGGAAGGGCTTGTTGTTCACGCCACCAGGTCAACGGGCGAAATCTGTCAATCTTAGAGGATATAGGCGGCTGTTCCCGGAAATTCGCACGTTCCCTATGCCCGGAATAACCCCACCATCTCGTCAACCACGTTGTCGACCACCGGTTCACCCCTGCCTTGCAAAGTACGGCACGCGAAGCCCTGGTTGATCTTCTACGGTAGTCCGCCCACGACTCCATCGGTTTCTTTGCATGCCGAAGCAACCATCCCATGAGCAAGTTCTGAAAGGAATTGACCAGTCCTAGGGAGTGTTTATCTGGAGGTATAGCCCCAAGACACCACATCATAGAGTTGGTCACAACCCTGTCCATGAGCCTGGCCCTTCCACAGGCTGGGGTGCGCCTCCGGAGAAGATGCTTGATCGACCAGAACTTGGCACGCGCCCTCGTGAGGAGTGGTTGCAAGAACTCGCAGGTAGTCATACCGACTCTCATAGGAAGCCCCAAGACTGTGATATACCCTTGGTCATGGAGTGTGGCGCTACCCAAGCGAAGGGAATTCCCTGAGGTGTTGTGGGGGGAGACATATAGCTTGCATTTAGCATAATTCAACTTGAGTCCATACTCAGCCAGAACCGTAGCAAAATTATCAAGCTTCTGTGCCAGGATGTCTGTTCTACCACTCCACAAGAGGCCGTCGTCCATAAAGAGGGAATCCTCCGTTCTGAGATCGGGGTATGGTGTGGGTAGTTTTGCCCAGTCATACCTGATCGAGGTCTCCCGAAGTGCTTCCTGCATCATATAAGCAAAAAGCATCGGTGATTCTGTCGCCCCCTGCTTTATCCCTGAGAACATGTCAAATTCCGATGATCCCCACACTGTTTGCAACGTTGCCCGGGTCGCGCAGAGCAAGTTGTGTAGGCATCTATATTCGGGTGTGTTTCCAAGTTGCTGTTTAAGCTTGGCGACCAGCTTGCCCCGGTGAAGCGAATCAAAAGCTTTCGATATATCTATCTGGCAAATTGCCAGGCCCCCTTTCCACTCACGTTCAAGCTGCATTAACCTCCATACTGAAAACAGGACATCTGAGGCTTGTCGTTGTCCTCCTGCACATTGGGTATGGCTAGTATAGGGCAGAAGGTGCCCGACCCGGTTAAGCAACATGCGCGAGAAAAGTTTGGCAGTAGAGCTGCCGAGCGCGATAGGTCGAAGATCAGCTGGCCCCACAGGCTGGTCAATCTTGGGTAGGATGATAAGCAGCGGCTTGTTCCACTCCCGAGGGATGCGTTGTGTAGCAAGGATACGATTGAGGTATTCAAGGAGGTGCCCTTCCCCGCCCTCGGTGTGCACCACTGCCTGAAGCAATTCCTTTGAGGTGAGGTCCCTTCCTACCGATTTTTGCCCCTTTAGCTGAGCGAGAGCCCCTTGGAGGTCATCGACTGTGAAAGCCACCACCGACTGTTCCGGGAGATATTCAGGCTCGATGTCAACCCCTTTATAGATTTTGCTAAGATGATCATGAACCGTAGCATGTGGATCCCTGGTTTGTAGGTCCGCATACTCAATCTCCCAACCCTGCTTCGAAGGAGCTTTGCATTGCCGAAAGGCACCCCAGTCGCCCTGGAGGGCCCGCTCCTGCCTGGCAAGCTCCCAGCGTCGTCGCGCGGTGCGTCTGGCCGCGAGGGCTTTCTTCCAAGTTTCCCTGGATCTGGAGAGCTTGGCCTGTTGCATAAGCTTTTTGACGTCTTTCGGGTCACGGTACGCTTGGCTCTGTCGGGGTTTGGTGCAGCGGGCAGCAAGATCCTCAAGAACACTCTGATCGATATGATGTATTTTCGCCGGACCGCCAACCCAAACCCTCGGCGCTGTTTGACATCGTGGTTGTACCTTCCCAGTGACAACACGGAAGCATCCCTGTATCAATTCATGGTCCGTGCCCAAAGTGAAGCAAGAGTCCTGATGTGTCACCGAGCCCTCATGTCGAAAGCGAGAAGTTGCCAATATATCTATCTGCTTCCCTGTACGTCCCTCCTGCCGAGGTCGCGAAGTCGGGAGTCGCCTGAAGGGAGGCCTGGGAGCCACCAGAGTCAAGCCCTGTTTGTGGAACCTGTCAAGGAGGATCAGGGCCTTCGCGTCTTTGCCGACTGCCTCAACCCCGTTCTCATCATCGACCCATCCGAAGTGTGCATTTGTATCCCCCTGAATAATGAGCCTGTGCTTACCCTTGGGCACCTTGGCAAGGAAGTTTTCAAGCTGGGTAGTAAAGGCATCAACCGTACACCCCGGTGTGAAATGGAAGGAGGCTACCCAAAGCTCAAGAGAATCAGCAAGACGACGCATGCGAAACCAAGTTCCTTTTCCGGCCGGGACCCTGCGGAGCATCGACCATTCACCCTTGGCGAACATAATGCCAGTCCCCCGCCATTGGTCCGTACCTTGGTAGGAGCAAACCATCCATGAATCCTGGACCCATTTGCTCCAGCCGTCCTTGCCTCGAGGCACTTCCTGGAGCATCACAAGCTGTCCCTTACGGAGAGCTTTCCCCGTTCCTTGTCGGATCGCTTCAGTGAGATTACCCAGTTCAGCGCCTCCAACGTTCCATCCGAAAACCGTAAGTTCATCACCCAGAAGTCTTCCCTCATTGTTGTCAGAAGCTTTCCGGCATGATCTGTAGAAATCCGAATTCAACCCTCCAGTAATTGAAGACTGGGCAGTCCCCCCATCAGCAGAAGAGTCATGGAGCAAAGTGCCCCGCTTGCATGCGTTGGTTGCAGTCGGTGTAAGCCGCTCGACATCTGTTTTACATTGCCTGACCAGCTCCACCAATTCATCCAGCTCTATCCCCGGTCACCTGCGATTCGCATCCAGAGCCTCTTTGAGCTTCGGGACTGGGTGGCCGGCCTCTTTTGCCAAAGCCCCCAAATCCACCCAACGAGTGCTCGTCTCATCCGAAGGCACTGTGTAGATCTCATGAGATTTTGCTCCGTTGGATGGCTGCCGTGCCACGCTTGCGACAAGGCTATCGCCCAGCCACACCGACCCTGTGCCATACTCCACATCAATCGCTGAGGCAAGGTCCTGCGAGATAGTTGCCAGAGATCGTTTCACCCAGGAGCAATGCCCGCTAGTCTCTCTCTCAGCCCTGGTTTTCGAGTAGGAGCACCATAGTCGTTTCCCTGCTGACGTCGATGCTTCAGCATTGTTGATTGCCATGAGAACTCGATGCATCCTTGCCCTTCTACCAGAATCCTGTTCGTGAATCCTAAGCGGCATGTTCAAGAGGGCTATCGAGCGTCTCGGTCCCGTAGTGAAGGGCTCTTCATCCACCTCCTGAGCGAGTCCCAACTTGTTGATCGCCTCGGTGAGTTCTCGCAGGATTATCCCTTTACGGGTATCCCTGTCCCATCCTCCGAAAACCAGGGTCTGACGACGTCGATCATCCTGATTCCCCTGGATAGGTCCCTTCTGAAGCAGAGCCTCCATCTTCTCAAGTCGCCCTTGCAGCCCCTGGACTGTGTCCTGAACCCCTTGTGCCATCCTCTCGACCCCTGCGATGCGATGTTCCTGCTTAACTTCCAGCGCGTGAACCAGGCCTTCAGTGTGTGCATTGTTCGCATGCAGGATCTTTGCTGCCTGTTCATCCAGTAGAACCCGCAAGTCGGCAAGTGTAATGTTGGCAAGGCTGGATCGGTCGTCTACCAACGTCTTTCCTGGGGGCTTTTCTGGCTTCTTGAGCTTGTTGGGGCCCTGCACAGCTTTGTCTGACTCTCGCTTCTTAGTGGGGCTCACGTCAAGGTCTGCATCATCACCGTCAGGGACGTTCAACATCGGACCACCCCCTAGCTGGAGCCCTTTCCCAAGCGCCGTCATCGAAAGCGAAACCCCGCAGTCTCCCTTACCTCTGCACACCGGCCAAGGGGGGAGGTAACCTACAGGGGACCCCTCGGCCTTGAGCCAAAATGGGTTTAGGGTTTAGGGTTTAGGGTTACCCCCAAAATCTATATACCAAGCCCCCAGCCATAAATCACAAAAGCCGCAGAGTCCCCAACCCCCCGAAAAACCTCAGCCAGCAAAAATGGGGCTCTACAATCCCCACGCCTTGAACCCCAAAATCGCTACCCATACGGATTTCGGGTTTCCAGGGTAAAAGGAGGGACCCTTAATAAGGACCCCTATAGGTACATACCCTTAATATAGCTATTATATACCCATTATATAGCCCATTATAGGGTAGGGGTCCCCATTATAAGGGTCCCTCCTTTTCCCCTTTGAGGGTTTAGGCTTAAGTTATATAAGCCCTGGCTTACGGTGGCAGACTCCACGGACTCTGAGGCTCTTCTGAGTAAAGAGGGCGAAGGAGGATGCAAGGTTTAGGGTTTAGGGGGGTCTCTCGCAACTTCACTTCCCCCAGAGCGGACGTCT